CAACATCAAAATATGTGTTATTGAAGATATTTTAGTAGTCTATTTAGGTCGAGAAGTTGTTTCGTTTAGGTTTAACGGTATTTAAATTTACTTCAATTCAGCACCCTTTAGTCTATAGCATATGCATTATACAAGAGAGTTAATAAAAGCTCCAACAGCGTAAGGTTTTTTTCTTGGTACAATTTAGTGTTTAAATATGAATTCGTTGTGTCTGTACTTAACAGCTTGAAGTTGAAGGAATGCATTTTTTAAAAGTTATTTTGGAGGTAAAATTATTTTTTCTTTTATCTTATCCATTTCTTGCAGACTATTTTAAATATAATTAATCTTATATTTGTTATATTCTTTGTTTTATATCCACAACACCAATTCAAAACTTATGTAGACGTATATAGAAATCAAAAAATATATTTCTTAGGTATATGCTAAAACATATCGCGTAAGGTAAGGTATCGCGGTACCTTACCTTGTAAGGTATCTCGGAATTTTTTTCAATTTAATAAACAAATCTTCATAACTATGCTGCTTGATGCAACCATCCATTGATACCAATGGATAAAAAAAATGTAATATTATAAGATATGATATTAAAAAATATTCCAAGGAAAAAACAAAAGATATACTTTTTTAAAGATAAAGCAGATATTATGTTGAATCGAAGATGTATATGCATAATTAAACAACAAAACATGTCAATTGGTTTAAATACATAATCTTTTCAGACCAAGATATCTCATTTATATTTGTCGTATAAATTATTCACAAAAGTACTGAGTCTCAAGTATAAAGATCACAATTCAAAACATAAAAGGGCAGACTCGCCAGCTTTCCAGGACTTGCAAGAAAATTCAGAAGTGGTGATAATATTAGAACAGACTACGGAAAACATTTCAATTCAGTTATTTCAAACAGAAAATTTAATGTTCAGAAAGCCTCTCTCTAAGAAAACATGGTACTTCATCACTCAGAAACTCGGGAACCCACAAACTTCTTGATTCTGGATTGGATTTTTTCTTAGGAAAACTTATGCTGGGCTGTCCACAAGCTCAAAGCTATAGGGATGGTTTTTTGTTTCAAAATATTCAGCTCTGTCGTTTTCTAGCAAGAATAGCTCAGTGGAGAGAGCATGCTATTGCGGATAAACAAGGTCAGGTCTTAAAGTCATATTGCTGGCGCCTTTTATCCTTCACCGCAGAGAAAAAGGAGAGACCTTCAGAGGAACATTAGTGTAAATACATAATCTTTTTCAGACCAATATATTTCATAAATATCCCTCGTATATATTGTTCACAAATGGGCTGAAACTCGATTATAAAAATCAAAACTTTGAAATAAAACATTTCAAAAAGTAATGCTTAATATTCAGAGGTTAAAGAGTATCATTGAAGAAAATTAATTAAAATTTTCAATATCAGAATTAAAAGTTTAAAATTCAAATTTCAGATTTCGAGATTTGAAAGTAAAATTTCAGAAATTTCGACAAAAATTACCGCACACATTGGAGAGAGGACCGAACATATACTACCACCGCCTAAAGTGTACATCCACATCCGGATAATTGTAGATCTGACGGCACATAGTAACTACCAGTACATTGATGTGAGGTTTTTACTGGGTTTTTACATTCATCTAAGTAATAAACATATCATTATTTTGGAATACAAAATTTTGTATATACAAAATTTTCAAAAACAGAGTGTACATCACATTCATTTGTAAATAAGAATGCTAACACTAAATCTTTAACTCTTCAACGCAGTCAATAAGTGGAGGAAAAAAAGGTGTTCACTCGGAAAAACCGTACTCGAAAATACAGAAAGAGTCGCTCTATGGATCAAAATGCGATCGTAGACTTGCTATATCCGGCACAGCAATATCAATCTACCTTCCAAGATCCCGTTTAAAAAAGACACCGTTGTCCAGTTAGCGGCACAATCAGCTAACTGGAGGAATCCAACCGTCGGTTCCGTTTAGCCATGTATAGATACGAGTATCCATGTTCTTCTTTGGACTAAAGAGGTCAAACCCATCCGCGTATACGGTCCAGCGGCAAAAATTCCCACATGGAAGCACGACCCCAGACTTGATAAAAATTGGGAAAGCCTGATGCTCGATCCTCTCTTCGGTGGAACTCACCGGGAGGCAACTACTGGCCACCGAAGAGAAGATCAAGCGAACTACCTGATGGCAGTGGCAATCAACTTACAGGCACGAAGAAAATGCAGGAAGTGCAATCGGACGATTCACTTCTTTGGACTCAAACTATGGCACCTACCACCGCATAAAGGGCTGTTCCTGTTTTCTGTTTCAAGCTTTTTAACTCAGATTCCAGCATTACTCAAGTGGATAGACCATGCTACTGCGGATAACGAGGTCAGTTATTCGTCTCACCTTGCTAGCAATCCAAAACTCAAAACCAAGCAGGACAAGAATCTAACATAAATACAAGAAGGCAGAACCGATAAATTACTACATTGATAACTACTGCTCAAAGGTAACGACATGCTCAGAGAATGAAAGCCCAGGCGGCTTGATCGTCTTCAGGATTGCTTCGGCATTCATCTATATCGGAAGGCCTTCCCCACTTAATAAAACTCACGTCGTTTCTAATGCCGAGGTCAGCACCAAACAAACTCGGCAATCCACCTGTCACCTCTGTCAGCACCACGTCCACTACTCATAACTGCAATCTGTTGCAGTTTCAAAAGAATGGATCATACATTGTCGATTGAACCATAATCAAAAGATCGGATTCGGAATTTGGGCGTGTTTACGTGCTGTGTACAGTTTCGTCAACTTCTTGTTTTCACATAAGTGTACATATGATCACATACTCCAGCATTCTTGACGTGCTCTTATCTTAGTGGTGTATTGGTTTTCTTGTGACGGTGATTTGATAGAACCAGGGCATTTATTGGGGTGACATGCCTAATACGGATTTTGTACAATCCTATTTCTGAACATTACATGCGGTTTATTGTTTGCCAGATACTCACCAGGCTTGCTGTCATGTTTTCAGTCGCCCTTTCGGTTCTTGACCAACAGCAGGAGATTCATATGAAATTTTTTGTCCACTGTTGGATACTACTCAGGATTGATTTGAATGTGTGAACAAAAGAGAAATGCATCGTTTTGTGGAAGTACCCTACTAATTGTTGTGATACAATTGCTAATTGATTTCTGATGGAGATAACGGACTGGCCTGTTTCGCTTTTGTGATGTAGATCGTCTGGCGACATTTAACGGTGACCACTTCAACCTCAAGTAGTTATGAAAGAGCTCGAGCACGTAAAAGAGTAGAAGCTAATCGTAGGAGATATTTTGGACGTCGAGTAGCAATGGAGGTGGAGGCAGCTGTAGCAGCAGCGAAGTAGAAGAAAGAGGTGAAAGTAGTACTCGAGATTGCCGGAAGGATGGGGGAAAGGAGTATCGAAGAGCTTCTCACGGGGAAAGGCGTAGGAGCAGTAGTCGTGACAAGAGTATGAGAAGGAAGAGGAGTCCGAGTCCAAGTCGACCTGAAAGAAAGAAAATTAGATGCAGAAGTGACAATGACAGTCCACATTCACATTCGCGAAACAAAACTAGTTATTTTCAGTCACAGCCAGTTTAAGTACAGTTCTTTCCACAAACGTCACTGGCACAGATCTGGAGGCAGTAGACATGATAAGTGTTGCTTCTTTTCTTACTACTAAAAAAGGGATAACAGGGTCTGTTCCAAGTGGAAAGAAAGAGATAACATCTCACCAGTACGCTCTGAAGGAGTGAGACATCACCACTCTCGATCAAGGGAGTCGGTTTTACATGGTTCTAATAGCAAGTCTCCACGGACTTCGAAGTACAGGACGCAAACAAGTTATGATGTAAACTATTCTCGGAAAGATGCCTATCTGCGGGTTGATTCAGACAGTCAACGGAAAGGTAGCTATCTTGGCAACAGTGCGCTGATAGGCAAGCTTCTCAGTAGAGAAGAAGCTCAAATGAAACGCACAACGAAGTCGTCGTGGGATGACAGATGTCGAAGAAACCCTGCACTTTCGTTACAGCAGCCAGATCCCGATTTGAAAGAGGAACGTAAGTCCAGTGTTGGACTTACTGAAGAACTTCTTGATCGACTTGGAGACTGGCTGAAGCCAAGCCCTCATGCATATTACAAGAAAGGTACTTGTCTGAGCTCAATATCTTGCATGTTATAAACTTCAATCCATGGATTGCTGCTGCCTGCTTCCCTTTCCCACAACTATCCTCCTAGCTTTTGTTCTGGATACTCTAAGCATGTCTGTTCTAAGAGTTCGTCGAGTTGTTCAGTTCAGAAGCTCTACAACACGTCGGGCCTGTTCTTACGGCCTCACAGTTCCTATCCCTCGGGTTCTCCATCAGATGGAGTCCCTACGGTGGTACCTCACGGGACTGCACCTGGCGTAAGCTTGCGTGTTCAGCCTTTGCGGTTGATCGCATGTTATTTTTTTGTCTCAATCACTCAATCCAATAAAATGTCAAAACAAATCTTAGAAAACTTCTTCACCTTTAGCTTCTTTTCTGCCTTTTTTGACTAGCTGGTCAACTATCAAACGTAATAGGTAGACTTAGTACAAACAACGTCAACGCATACAACAGCGTGCATCAAAAAACGAGAAGAAAGTGTGAGCATTTTATACCGGTATTCAGTGATTGGATATCTGTACTGGAGAAGATGATGTTTTTCGCTCATATCGTCTCGCCGTAGCAATTAGATCCCGGGTAAGCTCAATCACCAATACCATCCCGACGTCATGCCAAATAATCTCCATGAGGAGAAGTGATGGATATTGGGAAATCTGAACAAGGCCAAGATAAAATTTGTCATAAATGACAAGTCGCACGCAAACATTTATTCAGTTTCATGAATAAATTTAGAACAAAATCTTATCGAAAAGGAAAACATTTCCGACTAATTTAAAGAAAATTCAAGAAATAATTTGAACATTAATAATAAAGATAGAATAAAATCGTAAATAAAAAATCCTCCGCAGACCAGTTTGAACAACCACAAACAGAAGGTTCAGTGCCTTCAGTGCATGAAAATAAGTCGGATCATAAAGCAAGATGTCAGTGAAGCTCGATGTTCCACTATCCGATACGGCAGTTCAAAAGTGGACTGAACGGCCGTTGGAATGAACTCAAAACTCGAAAACTTTGCACACGACTGCAAAACTAGAAACACGACTTCTTCGGGAAACTTATGCTGGGCAATTTATAAACTCAAAGTTTTCTGTTTTCTGTTTTCTGTTATCAGCTCAGGCGTTTTCTAACAACAACGTAGATAGCACAGCGAAGAGCGCATGCTACTCCTCATCGCAAGGTCAAGGGTTCGACTCCCCTTACTGGCGCTTTTAGCCCTCACCGAGAGAAAGCGGCGAGGAGAGAGCGGCGGTAGGCCGGGGGACCGCTAATCTGGAGATATGGCTAGTGGGCGAGCAGTGAGCGGCTGTGCGCGGCAGGGTGCAGCTGCTTTGGGGGGACCGCCAGCCGATTACGAGGCGATGGCGAGGCGAAAGCACGTGCGCAGCCTACCACAGTAGCCCTTCGCGATGGACGAACCGTGGTATCGACAGAACAGCAGTCCACTGTGCTCACCGCAGTTCCTTCAAACCTCGTAGCAGAACCGTCAGCAACCGTGTGGAAGAACTTGGCGTCGTCCAAGCGTACTCTATAGTACTCTCTCCACGTCAGCAAAATCTGCAATTACGAGTCGAAGGGCTGAGAGAGGTTCCTCAACGCTTCGCCGACATACACACGCAGACCAAAAGGCGAGGCGATGCATGGCGATACATGGCGAGGCGATGTCGACGGTGTAAAGAAATTTGCAAAAAAAGTTTAATGACAATATAATCGTACATGAAATTGATCGCAGGAGTTATACTTCATTTTAGAAAATCTAAACTTAAGAGAATAAAGTTCCGCAAATTTCTAAATTTGAGTTTGGAAATAAATTCAAAGCAAAATGATTTCGTAAATGAAAACATTTCAATATGTAATACCGTAAATGATAAACTCTGAGGAGAAATTTCATACAAGTTAATAAACAAGTACATATATTCATTGCTATATTGCTTAATAGAACCATTCATTACTGTCAATAGACAAACAAATAAAAGTATGAAATATAGTTCAATGATAAAGAAATTTATGTTAAATCAAAGATGTGTATGTAAAATTAAAACACAAAAGATGTAACTTTGTATGAATACTTAAGTCTTTTTCAAAGCAAGGTATGTCATATGCATTTGTCGAGTGGATTATTCAATCATGAAAATCGCGATTTAAAAACTTCATTTCTTTAGTACTTAACATTTAAATTTTAATAAGTCACGTCTGGTTTTCCAACATTATATTTAAATTTCAAATTTTACTATTTACTATTTTGTACAAGGCCAAAATAAAATGATGTCGTAAATGACAAAACACACGCAAACATTTATTCAGTTTCATGAATAAATTTAAAACAAAATCTTATCGGAAAGGAAAGCATTTCCGACGAATTTTAAGACAATTCAAGAAATAATTTGAAACATTAATAATGAAGATTAAATAACACCGCAAATAATAAATCCTCCGCAGACCTACTCATAAGTTTTCATAGTTAAATTTAAAAATACATGAAATCGTACTGGACGTTTTTTTGACAGAATTATAATTGAATTTATTAAGCAACTTAAAACTGATTATATTGTTAATGAACACATTTACTGTTTTCTGTTACAAGTTTCCTGTTTCAAGTCGTTTAGCTCAGTCAATTTCTAACCAAACCGCCAGAATAGCTCAGCGGATAGAGCATGCTACTGCGGATAGCGAGGTCAGGTGTTCGACTCACCTTGCTGGCGCCTTTTGTCATTCACTACAAGGAGAAGGGAGAGACTCTAGCAGGAACCAGGGCGAGAGCGGTGGTGGGCGGGGGACCTCCAAGTTGGAGGTATGGATGGGGGGGGGGGGACCGCCTGTCGATGACGGCGGCGATGGCGAGGAGGTAGGGAAAATTCGCAAAACGAAAAGGAAAAATTACACGCCTAAATGAATAAATTTTCCATGAAGTAAATACTATCGCAAATAAATTATAAATATACAAATTCGAAAGAAAAATTCCACGAAATGTTAGGTGGATCTAAAAGTAAGTTTAAAAGAGATAATATCGGAAATATAAATATTTCCGCGGATCTTCTACAGATTGCAGATAATTATCTTAAACGTCAATTATAAAGATTCAAAACACATAATATATGACACAAATTATATAATGATAATTTCAATTTCAGAATTTACTATTAAACTTTCCAAATTTCATTACCATATTTCTAATAAATATTGAAATTTTGTTATTAATTATAAAAATTTCTAATAAATATTAATATTCACAAACTTACGCCTACAATTTCGAATTCATGACTATCCTGTCATAGAGGTGCCGGCAAAGGCTACTGATTAGATTGAGTAGCTGGTCAACTATCAAACGTAGTAGGTAGACTTAGAACAAACAACGTCAACGTATAAAAACAGCGTACATCCGAAAACGAGAAAAAAGTGTGAGCATGTTTCACATAATCAGATGATGCATACATACATACGTGCGATGTTTCAATTTCACGTGTGTAGCTGGTCGCCTATCCAACGTAATAGGTAGACTTAGTACAAACAAAGTCAACGCATAAAACAGCGTACATCAAAAAACGAGAAGAAAATGTGAGCATTCTATACCCGATCGTTCACCAGTACTCATTGATTGGAAATCTGTACTGTAGAAGATTGTGCTTCCGGCTCACATCGTCTCGCCCTATCAAGTGGATCCCGGGTCAGATCAATCACCTATACCATCCCAACGTCATGCCAAATAATCTCCATGAGAAGAAGTGATGGATATTGGGAATCTGAACAAGGCCAAGATAAAATGATATCGTAAATGAGAAATAGCACGCTAAAATTTATTCAATTTCATCAATAAGGTTGAAGCAAGATCTTTTCGTAAAGGAAAACATTTCCCACGAATTTTGATAGAATTCAAGAAATAATTTTGAACATTAGTAATAAAAATAAAATAATATCATAAATGATGAATCCTCCGCAAACCTATTTATTTAATTAAATTTTACAATAAATGAAATCGTACTAGACACTTTTCTGGCAGATTTTAATTGAATTTATAAAACAAATTGAAAACTAATTATATCGTGTATAAAAACATTCCTCAGAAACATTTCCTGAGCAACTTTTTAAAAGTTGTTCAAGATTATGATATAAATTTATATTTCTATAAACGTAAGTTAGTATATTCACCGAAAGATATATATTCAATTTAATAATTAAGTCTTCATTACTATGTTGCTCGATGGAATCATTCATTACTATAAGAAACAGAAAATAAACAGAAAATTTAATGTTCAGAAGACTTCTCGTATAGAAATCACGTAACTTCATCACTCCCTTTTGAGACTCGGGAAACTCCTTGATTTTGGGTTAAGTTTCTATTGCGGAAAACTTATGCTGGGCTGTCTACAAGCTCAGAGCTATCGCTATGATTCTGTTTCAAGTTTTTCAGCTCAGTCGATTTCTAACGGCAACGCCAGCATAGCTCAGTGGAGAGACCATGCTACTCCTAACAGCAAGGTCAGGAGTTCGACTCACCTTGCTGGCGCCCTTTTATCCTTCCCCATAGGGAAATGGGGAGAGACCTTCAGAGGAACTAGGGAGAGAGCGGTGGGTGGCGGGGGACCCCCAAGTTGGAGGTTGGAGGTTGGGGACCGCCAGTCGATGACGGCGGCGATGGTGAGGAGGTCGAGAAAATTAGCAACAAAAAGAGAAAAATATAATATCGTATATAAATATAGCTTATATCTGAATTTAGTAAAAATTCCTCGGAAATTTAAAGTTATATCGCTAAGACATAATAAATAGACAAAATCGTAAAAAACTTTCCGCAAAGATTTTCGTGCAATTAAAATATAAATTTTGAAATAATAATACCATAAATGAAAAGACTTCCACAAATTTCTAAACAGTTTACAAATTTGTATCTTAAAGTTAAAATATGAAGACAAAAAAACATAGTAAATAATACATTCTAAGCAGAATTTTTTCGCAATTGAACCTGGGCGAGAGAGGTGGTGGGCGGGAGGTCATCCAAGTTGGAGGTATGGATAATGTTTGGGCAGCAAGGCGCGGCTAATTCGAGGGACCGCCAGACGATGGCGGCGGCGACGAGGTCGAGGGATTAGCAAAACAATAAGGATAAATTAGTATCGGAAATGATACATTCTCCACGGAATTGTAATGTAATTCGAAAGTCGAGGGATTAGCAAAACAATAAGGATAAATTAGTATCGGAAATGATACATTCTCCACGGAATTGTAATGTAATTCGAAAGTTAAATTTCAAAATAAATAATAACGTAATGATCATTTCTCCTCAGAATTTCAATACCTCAAAATTTTAAATTTGAAAAAAAATTTCATGATAGATAATATCGTAAATGACAAGTTCTCGCAAAATTTTCAGTAAATTTTAAAGGTTAGTTTGAAATAAATTATATCGTAAAAAACTTACACAAATAAATATTCGATTTATAAAATAAGTTTCAGCCAAAAGATATCCTGAATGAAAATATTTCCACATATTTCTTAAACAATTCAAAACACAAATTTTAAACGTAAGTATAGAGATAATTTGATACCGTAAGTAATAAATTCTCCGCAAAATTTGTATTTGATTTAATGAAGAAGTCTTCTTTACTATGTTGCTTGAAAAAACCATCCATTAATATCAATTGATACAAAATTAGAGTACTATGAAATATAATTCAAGATAACTCATGAACTCAAAACTACAAAAAATGACATGATCCGTTGGCATGAACTCAAAACTCCATACCTTTGCACCATACTGCAACCTGATTCTTGCTGATCGTCTAACAGATACCCAGGGTTGACTTGCCACAAGGATGCCCATTGCAGTGAAATATACATCCATTGCCGTAGCAAGGCGATCAGGAGTACTGGGGCAGGTAAGCAAGAAGGTCCAGTGAAGTAAGATAAAACCAGCGCTCAAAAAATAGATAGTGATAAGATAAAACCAGCGCTCAAAAAATTACAAATCAGTTAGTTAAAACAGAAACACTAATGTTCAGAAAACTTCTCCAATAGAACATATGTAACTTCATCACTCCGTCCTGAAACTCGGAATAAACTTTAATGCAGTCCTGTGCAATTCTTCTAGAAACCTCCGAACCAACATCATTGATTCTGGACTAAACATTTTCTTTGTAAAACTGATGCTGGGCTGTCGACAAGCTCAAAGCTATGGCAAAAACTCCTCACAAAAGGGGGAATCGAGTGGACAGTGATGCAGTCCAGTGCGGGCATCAGGCATAGTCTATGCGGTCAAACATTTGGGCTGTCAAGAAGCTCAAAGCTATCGCGATAATTTTCTGTTTCAAGTTTGTTAGCTCAGTCAATTTCGAACAAGACCGCCGGCATAGCTCAGCGGATAGAGCATGCTACTCCTAATAGCAAGGTCAGGTGTTCGACTCACCTTGCTGGCGCCCTTTTATCCTTCCCCATAGGGAAATGGGGAGGGACCTCCAGAGGAACTAGGGAGAGAGCGGTGGTTGGCGGGGAGACCTCCAAGTTGGAGGTATGGATTGGGGGGAAATGGGGAGGGACCTTCAGAGGAACTAGGGAGAGAGCTATGGTTGGCGGGGAGACCTCCAAGTTGGAGGTATGGATTGGGGGGACAGCCAGTCGATGACGGCGGCGATGGCCAGGAGGGAGGGAAAATTCGCAAAACAAAAAGGGAAAAATAAACGCGTAAATGACAAGCTTTCCGCGAAATTTTTACTAGATTAAGAAATAAATAGAATCGTAAATAGATAATAAGTAAACACATTCGAAAGAAAATTCCGCAAAATTTTTGTAGGTATCTGAAATCTGAAAGTAAATTTTAAGATGTTAATATCGGAAATGAAAGTACTTCTGCAGAATTTTTGTACAATCTACAGATTTGTATCTTAAACGTAAATTAAAAAGATATAAAAACATAGTAAATGATATATTCTAAGCAAACTTTCATGTAGTTGAAAAAACAAGTCTCCATTGCTACGTTGCTAGATGGAACCTTCCATTAATATCAGTTGATAAACAAATAGAAAAGTATAAATTTAATTTAAAGATAAAAAGAATATTGTATTATATCAAAGATATATATGTAAAAACAGACAACAACATATGTCCCTTAGTGTAAATTCATAATCTTTTTCAAACCAAGCTATTTCATATATTTTTGTCGTATCTATTATTCACGAAAGGGCTGGAACTCAATTATAAAGATTGAAAGATTAATTGAAAGATTGAAGACTAATTCTACAATTTCTGATGAGTATTTACATTTCAAATTTTACTATTAAGAATTCGAAATATAATAGTTAATTTTTGAAAATTAATTTTAAAATTTCTGATAATGTAAACATTTCAAGCTTTACTATTTAACTTTCGGAACTTCCTACTAGAATTTTAAAAATTAATTTCAAATTTTTGATAAAGATTAACATTTCAAATTCTACTGTTAGAATTTCGAAATTTATTACTTAGTTTTACAAATTATTTTTAACATTTCTGATAAATATTAAAATTTCAGATTTCAATATTAAATTTATAATAAGTAGTTAAATTTCAAATTCTACAATTAAATTTTCAAAAAATATTTTGGTTTCTAACAAATATTAAATTTTCACAAATTACTATCAAAATTTCAAATATTAATGGGTAAGATTCAAAACTTGACATTTAGGTTCCAAAAATGTATATTTTTACTCCAAAAATTACTATTTGAACTCCAAACATGTATGTTTTTACACCAAAAATTACTATTTCCATTCCAAAAATTGATATTTCGATTTTTAATATTCAAATTTAGAAAATATATTTAAATTTAGAAAATTACGTCGCGCACACGTTCAGTACAGAGGTACTACTCACCCTTCACCATCTTCGCTCCAAACATCTTGAACTCTGGCACCGACTGGAAGTCTTCCAGGTACGTCGCGTGTTTCATGACTATCCTGTCATAGAGGTGCCGGCAAAGGCTACTGATTAGATTGAGTAGCTGGTCAACTATCAAACGTAGTCGGTAGACTTAGAACAAACAACGTCAACGCATAAAAACAGCGTACATCCGAAAACGAGAAAAAAGTGTGAGCATGTTTCACATAATCAGATGATGCATACATACATACGTGCGATGTTTCAATTTCACGTGTGTAGCTGGTCGCCTGTCCAACGTAATAGGTAGACTTAGAACAAACAAAGTCAACGCATACAACAGCGTACATCAAAAAACGAGAAGAAAATGTGAGCATTCTATACCCGATCGTTCACCAGTACTCATTGATTGGAAATCTGTACTGTAGAAGATTGTGCTTCCGGCTCACATCGTCTCGCCCTATCAAGTAGATCCCGGGTCAGATCAATACAATCCCTATACCATCCCAACGTCATGCCAAATAATCTCCATGAGAAGAAGTGATGGATATTGGGAAATCTGAACACCTGCAAGAACAAGGCCATTCTTTTGGGTTGAGAGCTAGCCCAAAGGATCTGACGCAGATGACCTACGAAAGAAACACAAAAGAAACTTCTCCATATTTAGTGCTGCGCATTGTGATGACAGCTTCACGACCCTACCATAATATTTACGACAATTAGGGGGTGTGAAGATAACTCTGAGAGGCCCCAGAGCTCACATCGCAGCACCAAGTTCCATTTCCAAGAGGGCAACCCACCTCACCTTGCAAAGCAACTCCGACAAAGGTCCTGTCTCGCATGCTGCTCTGTTGTGCTGCCCTGCTTGAACAACATTGGTGACCTCTTAGGTACACTGACTAGCCTACATCACTCACATGCTCTCTTTTCTCCAACTCAGCAGTGTGACTTTAGATTACCAGGTTCTAGTAAGCATTTCCTAATACATCAGATGCAAAAGAGTTTTAATTTCGGTTTTCTGCGAATCTCCTAATCTACACGAGGAAACATCCGTAGTCCTACTTACCTCTTCCAGTTCCCCATGCATGTCCTCATATTCAGCACTGTCAGGCTCGGCTTCATGTAGCTCCTTCACCTGCCAGTTCAATTCAATAACGTCCATCAATTCCAACAAAGGCCACAAATATCTCCATTTCTATACTGGAGGTGGAAATGATTCAGAGGGTGAAGAAAAGATCACAATGAAACGGAAATACCTTACAGCTAAGTCAGTTTGATCAACCACATCCAGACGATTCAGAGCCTAAGTGCATGACAATACGTCGGACCATAAAACAAGATGTCTGTGAAGCTCAATATTCCACTATCCGATACAGCAGTTCAAAAGTGGACTGAACGACCGTTGGCATGAACTCAGAACTCCAAAACTTTGGACACTACTGCAACCTGATTCTTGCTGATCGTCTAACAGATACCCAGGGTTGACTTGCCACAAGGATGCCCACTGCAGTGTAATATAAATCCATTGCCGTAGCAAGGCGATCAGGAGTACTGGGGCAGGTAAGCAAGAAAGTACAGTGCACCACCAACAAAACATGCAGCAGAACGCAAGATATCCGCGTTTCTTCGTAACAACGTTCAATCATGCCCCTTCCGTCACTGTACCAACTTTCTAACTTCTTTCTTCAGTAAGAAAGAAGTTAGAAAGGCCAATGTCTTCGGACTTTCTTTGTCCAATGTGTTTGGCCACCACTTCTGGTCTTTCAAAGACCAGAAGTGGTGGCCAAAACATACCCTCCGTATCCTCTTTCGTGTTCAGAACTACTGAAGTCTCAACAACTTTTCCAAACAAAACAATACCGAGGAGAAGCAGAGAGTGCACGGTCTTGACAAAGTTCCTCGGTTCTTGGGATTTCTCCACTGTTCAGTCGTGCACCACGCTTAACGGCCCACATAACAGTAGAGCCACCAAATGGAACGATAACATCACTTAATTGACGACCTAGGTTCACAGCAGTCCCTTAAGAAGCCATTCCTAGCATGGTTGCAGCACCCTAAAGTACAATTAATGTTAAAACAAAGTCCAGATTTTGAGCAACACTCTCTACGGTACAAGAAGGCGACGTTAGTTTCCAGTACAAAAGGAAACTTCAGCCTATGCAGCCCTCGCGACACCTGATATTTCCTGGATGCTGACGGATTCGTGATAGGCAAGGGATGGCAGCTAAGCTTTGGTTGAGTCAGGTGCACAACACTTGAACTAGGAACTACAAACATTGGTTGACACGAGCAGGTTCGCCAGCTGTCTAGGGCTTGCAGGAAAATTCAAAAGTAGTGATAAGATAGAACCGACTACGAAAAACATTTCAAATCAGTTATTTCAAACAGAAACACTAATGTTCAGAGCACTTCTCCTAGAGAAATATATGTAACTTCATCACTCCGTCTTGAAACTCGGGAAAAACTATAATGAGGTCCTCTGAATTTCTTCTAGAAACCTCGGAACCGACAAGTCATTAATTCTCGATTGAGCTTTTTCTTCGTAAAACTGATGCTGGGCTGTCGACAAGCTCAAAGCTATGGTGAAAACTCCTCACAACAGAGCGAATCGAGTGGACAGTGATGCAAGATCAGTGCGAGCATCCGGTATAGTCTACGAGGCCGAACATTTGGACCCAACTGATGAGAATGGCAAATATCCCTCCACAAACCTGCTGCAGCTGGCCCTCATACATGGTCAGATTCTCCTCGAGCTCCGACATGCTTTGCATCTTCTCAAACGACTGTAATTACGCGACGGCAAGAAACTCTTCGATCAAAACCGAGGAAGAAACCACGCCCTTCCGATTCCTCGCCTCCCTCGGCTCACACGGCTCTGCAGTCTCGCGAAACCTCCCTCCCCGCCCTGACCTAAGGGAGCTGAGACGTCGTGCGCACCGCTACCATGGCTTCGCGAGAAGGTTCTTGCTTTGGCACGGAACTCATGGCGTGCAAAAGCAAACTCTCCTGTACCCTCTCCAGGCCTTCGTACAAGGCCGACCCCACTTGAAAAGCGGGTCTCGAGCTATAGCAATCTATCAACCCCCAATCGAGGAGATCAAAAAGCTAAGCCTTCGGTCGCGGACTCTACAAAAAATTCTCCATTTACTGTATTGGAATAAATTTAATGCGATCCTCGAATACACATGCTAGTGATATTCACGCTCATCAACAGGAAGTTACTGTCTCTTTTAACCATCTAAACTTATTTTGCGTTACAATTTCGAAATTTCAATCTTCGTGTGTGCTCTCTCCCACCATTTATTCAAGCACAGAAATGTGTGAAACCAACTTCCATTATTCTATTTGAATAACGATTTGAAATGAAGTACACCCAGACCGTATTCTGCGCCGCTCGGTCAAAATGTTACCAGACTTCTTATGGAGAGAGGAATGTGAATAGATGTGATCATGCTGGGTTAAGCACATTCCTTTCATACGCCAGCAGCATTAAATAGAAGAGTGAAGGTGTGGACTAGCTCATTGTATCTCCATCGTATCCATATACGATTTACCATTTTCCATTATCTACAAATCGAGTTATTCGTTATGCGACTGTGAATTATATGCAATTCGTTTGAATAGCGAGGAAATTTGGAATGTACGATGCACTTTTGAGCAATAGTGCACCTAAAGGAATTTAACGGTTGATTTCAAGAATTAAATAGCCATTTGTTCCATTTACATTATTTATACATTTCAGAATGGAATGGTGAATCAAATACGCAATGAATGGTTGCGCTGAGATACAGATTCGTGTTACGGATTTAGGAATTCTAGATAATTTTTGCGAATTCTCATATAGGTCCCTCTGTTCAGCTCTCACGATTCAGAAGCATTCCTACTGCTTGGTATCTAAACGGCGTCATCAAGGCAGATAGGTACTTTGAACTTCAAACTCTTGTAAAGACTTATTGATGGATGATGAGGTCGACTTATCAGTTGATACTTTTGCTGCCATGGATATTCATTCATATCGAGGTTTCTGCATATCCAGAGAAGTACATGTTGCTGAACGAGATCATAAATTCTTTGTAGACGACGAAAAGCTTCGTCTCTCATGAACCAGTTATGAGATGACTTGAAACGGAGTTTTGTGAATTTGGAAAGATACTTAGATGGCATATTGGAGCCGTGGTAAGGCCTATCGAAAGCATCACTTATCAGCTTAACATGCAGATGAGAAGTTTACTATAAATCTGTGCATGAATTGCTCCTGCAAGTAATTCATTGTCCAAAAGGAAAAGATTAAGTTTTCAAGTAGGTCATAAGTAGTGTCACTTCTTACGACAGGCAATGGAAGAGAGTACCGTGATGAAGTTCACTAGGATGTTAATCGTATGTGCAGCAGCAGGTCATACTGGTGATCACAACAACTGCAGAAAGCTTGGGATCGCCCCAATCATGTCAAAATCATCTCCCTTGATGCTTTGATCTGTACCATTCAGCCTTTGACATAGAGGAGCTCGTATTAACTATATATTTCATTTGTGTGTGTGTGTATATATATATATATATATATATATATCACTAACTTTTTGAAGCATCATACATGCGACTTTTATCCAGAGAGTAGACAACAATTACCATCATGTGAAATATGTTATTTTGGTATCTTTGTATAAACTCTGCTTCAAAAACACCTGAATGGCCAAACTTTGTTGAAAATTAGTTATGAATCAAAATATTAATAATACATCAGAAAAAATGTGTGTTACATGAATGATAGTGGCATTTCTTACCTTCTGTTCATTTGTTTGCTTAAAAAGATACCCAAGTAGTTATTTCTTATGTTTATTAGATTACTATGTCCTTTTTAAAATACGCGTTCTAAGCCTTGTTTAAGAATATACATATATAAGAACTTTTATTTTTACTCACTTCATTTATACCAAAATTGTTACTAATCTATAAGTAGATAAAAAACCTTTATTTACTTATAGATTATACTATATAGAATAAAACTGAATTATAATAAAACATAAATTTTTGTTAGAATAATGTATATAAATAGAATGTATGTATAAAACTTCTAAACTATATGTAATGAACGCTGACAGATATTTGTTATATTTTGCATGATTCCATTTAAAAAATTTAGTAACATGTAATAGTACAAAATAATGGAATGATTAGCTGTGTTAACTTCGTATACAATATTCCATACACTTTAATCTTGATTATATTATTCTTTTAAATACATAAAGTATAGACCTATATTGTCATTCAACCATGAAGAGCTTTACACAATTAATATTTTTCCTGCTATAATATAATTTTCATGATATTTTATAACTAGTATCATGTGTAAACAACAAATGTTACAATAAAGCATAGTCACATACATGAGTAAATGTATGCACAAATCGGAAAAATAAATCCATAGTATGATAACATCAATTATACAATCAGTTTTGTATCTTTAGAGTGAATATAACATTAAAATTTATCAATAATTGTAGTTCATTTTCGTTTTATATCTTTTGAAAAGTTATTAATATCATTGAATAACAACCATAAGAAAAAAAATTGTATGTGAAAAAAAAAATCATCCGGTCGCATGATTCTTCCTCTATAAATATATACACTGGAGATAACCAAAAGGGGGTCGCGTATCCACTTTAGTACACGGTGGGTCGTGGCAGTTCCCGGATACAGGACTCTCGCCGCCTCATAACAAACAAAATACTTATCTACCTCTCTCTCTTTGAGACCTTCTTGGCTGCCGGCGAATGCATTTTATTCGAGAATTGAGGCATGAAGGGCTTTAAAAATGTCATTTTTCTTCTACAGTCTTGGCGAACGGCGGGTGAACATTGTCTTCTACAAGCCCCCCTTGTCCACGTCCTCCCGCAGCGGACTGTACTTGCGGCCGCTTCTGCCGTGGCGTCCAATGTGGCGTTCTCGAGGACCTCGACCTTTCCTACTTCGGTCGTACGACCACATCCCATTATTGCCTCTTGGTACCGCCGCAAGAACGACCTCCACCTGCCTCTCTCTCTCGTCTGGGCAGCCCGCACTCCAGCTCGAGCTCCGCGCAACTTGGTTGGAACGACCGGTCGCAGCAGGTCATCTCGGGAAGCCGTAGATCGTGAGTATTCTTCTCGGAGAGAGACCCAGAAAGACCCAGCCCAGGATTGACCATGAGAACAAACCCGAGATAAACCCGCGGCACCGAGAGACGGGTTACTATTTGAGTGTACTCTGGCGGCTTGTACCTCGTCACCATTTTCCAGGAAAAAAAAAGTCGTTTAATTTCGCTGGCTTCATACTAGTAATATACACGTAAATATCCATATACGTATGCTAATGCATCCCCTTCTTCCGTAGCTCTCCTTCTGCCCAAGTTTGCTCTGCCTTTCCCCTCCGCGTAGTCGAAAGCCACATCTTCCACTTTTCTTCTAATAACCACTCCGAAACTCGCCGTAAATTAGCATCGTGCGCTTTCCGCAAAGCGGCTGCATGTTCATCTTATGCGGCAGGCAGCAGGGGATCACCTCTCGCTCGGGTTGAAGCGATTAATCGATTCGGCCAAAGAGTGGATTCCCCAGAGAGTCTGGAGGTGCTGCTAAAATTATACCCTGACCAGAAAAGATGAAAGATTCTCATGTCTCTGATACCGATGAATTGCAGCCTGGAAAGCAAGGCAGTCGTGCATCCCGGACAAGCTAGTGGGCGACCTCAATAATTAAGAGGAGGGGTTTTCGCTGCTATATTAGGATTTAGGGCCCACTCTTTGATTAGCACGGGGAAATCTGCACTTAGTTGAATGCCAGATGGGCCGCCAAAAGGACGCTGCCTCCAAATTTCAACCCCGGGCTGCTATACCGTACTCGACTGCTGTCGTCCCGTGAACGGCACCGCGTCTCTCTGCTCTCCGCCCTCGCTTGTGTGGCGACGTCACGTTTCCACCTCCTGAGTGGATAAAAGGACTGCCAGACTTGGGGGTGAGGAGAAAACCCTCGAAGCCGGGGTTAAGTGGACAGTACGGCAATATCCTCTAATCCTGCATCCAGATATTTAACTTACCGAAACTCAGTTTAGCCCACCATCGGCTCCGTTAAATTCCCACGATTGCTCTTTGGTCCATGAGGCTTTCAGATAAAGCGTTACTTTCATCGGCTCGCTGCCTCGCTATCCCTGCTGTCCATGCCCTCCTCCCCCTCACCGGCTGGGGAGGTCGACGGCGAAGGGCAGGCCGTGATGCGCCTGGCATGAAAGCCAGCCAGTCGTGGAAGGCGAGAGAGCTGGAGGGAAGGGATAAAATTCACGGCGGACAGCGTAACAACGACGGGAAAGTCCTAGAAGAAGGGCTCGCGCTGTATCGGCAAATTTGGAGACTCAATCTCGGGCTTCATTTGGGGTTGGCATTCGAGCGGCTCCCCGTCCTGTAAATGTCGAGCGGCGTCTGCCTGCCCAGCGGAGCGCATCCGATCGCTCCTCATCAACGTGACACACACCTAACTCGATTGTATATCGGAGAACCGCAGAATTACCCACAGGCCAGTTTTGGAGTTCTTGCTTTGCCCACCACGTCAATTGCCAGCCCGACGCCACGCGCAAATTCTTATCACCGAGTGCCATCCCGCCCGGATCGCGCCACACTAGTTCGGCAGAGTACGCGTCCAGTTGGATGGGATGTTCAACCCAGGTTTAACCACGGCCATCATGCAGGGACGTGCAACACATACCGAATTCCCCACCATGTCAACCGTCAGGATTCATCCCCAGAGCGACATGCCTCATATCCAACATTCAAAACATGACAACAAATGACATAGCCTCATATCCAACATTCAAAACATGACTACAAATGACATAACAGTGTCTATAGAAGCACCAACGCTGTAACACTAGGGTTTAGAGAGAAGTTCACTCGAAGATAGAAACGTAAACTCTGAAGATGAGAGATACCAAC